AGGCCTTGCCCTGCTCCGGGCCCTTGGTTGCAGATCTAGCCCCCGGGCGCTGAGCGGTGTATCCCGGGGGTCCCCCCCGGCTCGGGCTGATCACGAAGGCGTTAAAACACGAACCTGCTTCGGCCAGGAATGGCCGCTCCTGATTAGCCCGGGCGAAGGGCAAGGTCTGCAGGTGCTTTGGCAGGTGAAGTGAAGCGGGCCAACCGGTGGGAACTCCTGCAGGTGCGTGTGTCTGACGCTTCCCTCCTGGACAGCAGACAGACACAGAGCCACTCGCCTCCCCTCTCCCCGTGCCCCAGCCGTAGGGCCCCTCCTCCCCATGGGCACTGTCCTTGCACGGCCTGAATCCGGAGTCACTCCTCCTTTTCCCTCGCGCGTGTACACGGGGCCTGGGCAGCCCCCAGAGGCGGCTTGGTTTTGTGCCCACGTGCGCAGCAGCACAATGTGGCATGAAGCAGAGAGAGGGCGAGACGATTGTGTGTGTGATTGATTGTGTGAGACTGTGATTGTGAGTGTGAGTGTGATTCTCCTCCCCTTCCAAAGGCTCCGGCTGGGTCCGTGCCCGCTCTCGCGTGTGTTGCTTAGCCCCGGTATCACAACTTCCCTCTCTCCTTTCAACCCCCCCCCCCCGGCGAAGCGGTGGCCCTGGGCGCACGGGAGGGCTGGTCTAGCTAGGGCTGGCCACGCAGCCACACGCTGGCTTGCATGACACGTGTCTGCTGCGGGTCAGCAGGGAGCTCCTGGACAGCAGGGGCGGGCGAGGGGAGGCGTCCGCCGAAGCGAGCCCCGGAGAGCAGCCGAGAGCTTGGCTCCCCAGCTCCCACCAGCAGCCAGAGGCTGGATTTGCGGGCCCGGCGTTCAGCCCGGAGCGGATTTCCCTGGGCAAGGCGGAGGCGCAGGGAGGAGTGAAGCTGGTTCCGTGCCCGAGGAGGAAAGCAGAGCGCGCTGTCGGAGAGCGCGGCAGGCTGGGGGCGGGCTGCGGGCAAGGGGCGTGGGTGGGGCCGGCTGGAAGTGACACCCACGCCGCCTCCCGAGAGAGGGGGCTCTGACTTTGCCCCCCCAAGCCTGGTCCGCTCTGTTGTCCAAAGGATGCTTCGTCCCCTCTGCCGCAGGACCCTGCCCTCGAGCTTCGCCGTCCCTGCCCCGCAGCCAGCGGCGTAAGCGGGTCCGCCCCGGGGACTCCTGTCCAGGAGCTGAAGCCGCGGGTCCGGAGCGCAGACCCAACCGGGAGCGCCCTGGCGCGGGGGGCGTCGGGCTCGGATCCCACCCCTCCATCTCGAGCTACCGCTTAACACCCTCGCCCGGGACCCGGCTGCGGATCGGGGCCGCCCTGACTGCGGGGCGGGGTGGCTTCGCGGCGCCCAGCGAGTGGCGAGCCGGCAGCTGCGCGGATCCGAAACCCACCCCCGCCCCCGGCCGATGCTCCCCCTGGGCCGTGATGCTGCGGGAAGGAGCCGGGGCGCGCAGGAAACATGAGCCTGCAGGAGACGCGAGATCAGGGCTGAAGTCTCCGCTCCAGCATCGTGTGCGCGCTTCCCCCGCGCAGCCGGGCTGTTAGCCGCGCAGGGGCCACCTGAGCCCGGCCAGACCTCCCGAGGAGCCTGCGAGCTGCGCCCGGCCGTGCGCCCCCCGCCACCTGCCAGCCTCCCGGGGTGCCCCTACGGAAGAGGCCGAAGGGCAAACGCCAGCCCGCAACGCCTGCGCTCGGAGCGCCGCTGCGCCTCGCTGGGAAGCGCCCAGGGCTGGGTCCCTGGAAGGGGGGGCCGGCGGGGGGGCCGATTTGCTGCTGATCGGAAGTTCCTGACAATAAGGCACCTTCATCTCTCCAGAGGCGGAGGGCGCGGGCGAGCCGCGGCAGGCGGAGGAGCGACGGGGGAAGAGGCGAGCTGATGCCGGAGGGAGCCACTCGGAGGAGGCAGACCCGGCAGGCTCGCAACTTCTCATCTTTGTTTATCAGCGCCAAGCGAGCTCGCTGGAAAGCCGCGGGGCTCGGCGGCCGGGTCCTGCCCATGTCAAGCCTGCGGCTGGGGATTTCGCTCCGTTAACTTGGCCTGCCCCCGCCTCCCTCAGCGATGCCTTCACTGCTCTCCGCCTGCACTTGCTTGTAAGGAGTAGGGCCGCGAGGTGCCTCGCAGACCCGGGCAAACTTTCCTCGGGGAAGGCGCCGGCTGCATTTCCCCGGCAGCCAGGTGCTCCCCTAGCCCCGCTCGCTCCGGCTCGCGACTGCGGCCAGAGCCGGTTCACCGCCTCGTTTGATCTTTTGATGCTTTTTTTTCTCTCTCCTCTCCAGATGTTTCCATTCCCTGCTGCTGTGCGCTCAGGTACAGGTACGTGCCCTCGCTCGCTTCTCCCCCTTGGGGCCGGACCCGGGAACAAAGGAGGCGGGCTGACCTCGGAGTGCCAGGCGCCTTGGCAAAGGGCTTCCACGCCCTCCCTCCCTCGATTCAAGTGAGCTTCGAGGCGAGTGGCACTTGTGGTGGGAGCCAGAGCGCCCCCCCCCAGCCTCAGCGCTGGGACTCCCTGCCGCTGCCCGAACCAGAGGATGGTCAATTTCTCCCCCCCCCCCGTGGGGCAATGCTGTGGGTCGCCAGGGGCCTGCATTTCAGGGGTTCTTTGGAGCGCAGGAGCCTGGCTAGCGGTGGGAAGGAAGGGTGGGGCGCGCAGTGCTTGGGAAAGGCTGATGGATGGGGGGCGGGGGTGCGTCGCAGGCGCTCTCCTGCTAGGAAGAGGACCCTTCGCCAGCGGAAGAGGGGGTCTTGCTCGGCCTGTCCCCCACCCCCAGGTATTCTGCCTCGGAGCTGCAGGAACCAGCCCGATTGCTGGAGCGTCTGGCGAAGCGGCGCCCGGCGCGCTGGAGATGGGGGGAGAGTCTGAAATTCGGGGTGGAGTGAGTTGGAATCACATTTTCCATGACAACCAAAATACGAGGCTTTTTCCCCTCGATGCGGTTTGCTCGCGCATAGTTTTCGCTGGTGTAAACGCAACACGTGCGCCCGGCGAGGACACACCCGCCCGCTCCAGTGTTTCACAATTGGCAGGTGCTCCAGTGCGCAGCGCCCTCCCGCCCTGCCTCGCGGGGGTGCTCCGGTCCGGCTCTGCCCCCCCCCCC